GTTGTTGTATGCAAATTCTATGAGTGGCAGTTGCTGTTCCCACGTGGCCGGGTCGTCACACATGGCTCGGATTAATTGCTCCATGGTCTGGTTTGTCCGTTCTGTCTGTCCGTCAGTTTCGGGGTGGTATGATGAATTGAATTGTAGTCGCGTGCCGAACTGCTGCCACAGGTTCTGCTAGAAGTTGCTGGTGAATTTCGTGTCGCGGTCGCCGATGATCGCCGCTGGTATCCCGTGCAGTCGAACGACGGTGGTGATGAAGAGGCGGGTTGTTTCTTCGGCTGTGATTGTTTTTTTGCAGGCTGCGAAATGTGCCATTTTCGTCAGCCGAGTGACGACGACCAGGATCGCGTCGTTCCCATTTGCTCCAGCCGGTAACCCCGTGACGAAGTCCATCGTCACCTGCTGCCAAGCACGCTCTGGGGGTGGTATCGGCTGCAACTGTCCTGCCGGCCGCTTCCGTGATGATTTCATGAGTTGGCAGGTGGGACACGATGCCACGTTTCGTTGCACGTCGGTAAGCATATCGGGCCAGTAATAATATCGCTGCAGCTGCTGCCGTATTTTTTCTACTTAGAAATGGCCTGAGGTACCCCCGTCGTGTGCCTCCTATAGTAACAGCTCCCTTAGTAAAGTGTAGCCCGGTACCCAGATGCGATTGGTGCCAGCTTTTACGTAATAAACCACCTTTGCTGCTGCGAACTGCTGCGAGTTTCCTCCGGTGAAGAATGGGTCTGTTTGGTAGCTGTGGGTAAATAGTCCTGTGAGTAGTGGGCTGGTCTGGGCGAGTAGTATGGCGTGGATTTGGGCATTGGGACGGGTCAGTGCATCGGCGATGTTTGATGCCCCCTTTTTGTAGGTGACCGTGTAATGGAAATTTGACTTAAGGAAATCGAACAAGCGAACCTGTCGTGGGTTGAGTTGGGGCTATGCGCGGAGGTACTGTAGTGATTTGTGGTCTGTCCATACTGTCACGTCTGCGCCGGTCAAGTAACAGCGCCAGACCTTGAATGCATGCACGATCGCGAGCATTTCGCGGTCGTGTATCGGGTAAAAATTTTCGGGCGGATGCAGTTTTCGTGACTCGTATGTAATGGATTGTAAGCCGTTGCCGAAATCCTGTAGCAGTACGGCTCCGATGGCAATGTCGCTTGCGTCTGTAACTACTTCGAATGGGCGGTGTGGGTCGGCGATGCGCAGGACGGGCGGTGAACAGAGAACATTTTTCAGGGCAGAGAAGGCGGCATGCTCTTTCACCCCCCACGTAAAAGCGACCCCCTTTTGCAGTAAATCCGTCAGTGGGGCAGTTAACCGTGCCATGTTGGGGACGAACCGACGCACATAATAAACGAACCCTAAAAAACTCTGCAGCTCCGTGATATTTGTCGGGGGGTGCTACGCTTTTACCGTGTCCAGCTTCTTTGGGTCGATCTCAACTCCAACCTCCGAAATAACGTGCCCAAAAAAATCTAACCTATCCTGGAAAAACTCGCATCTGGAACCCTTGGCCAGTAGTCTGTGCTCTTCTAAAATTTTAAACAGTGCTTCTAGATCTGCTAAGTGCTGCTGCTTGTCGTGACTGTAGACGAGGATGTCGTCGAGGTAAACTATCACGCATTTATCTAAGAGCGGCCTAAACGCCTCGTTCATGGTCATCTAAAATGTCGCCGGTGTGTTGGTCAGCCCGAATGGCATCACGGTGTACTCGAATGACCCGTACCTAGTCTTGAATGCTGTCGCAGCCCGATGGTTCGACCCTAATTTGATGGTAACCTCCCCGTAAGTCAATTTTCGAAGAAAAAAAACCCGTGTTGTTCGCAGTTGATCTATCAGGTCGTCGGTGCGGGGGATGGGATGTCGCGACTTGATTGTTACCCGGTTTAGTGCACGGTAGTCGATACACATGCGAAAACCTTCGTCTTTTTTTGGTGTGAACAGTATCGGTGCGGCGAACGGTGACAAGCTCGGTCGGATGAATCTAACAAGTAATCTAACTGCATCCTCAGTTCGTCGAGCCCGGGCAGTGTCAGTCTGAATTGTCGCTGTACGGTTGGCTGTGCCCCTGGTTCTAGTTCTATGCGGTGGTCGTGTGCTTGCTGAGGTGGCAATTTCTCCGGCGAATCGTCCGGAAAAATCTCTGGGTATCGTTTCAGTAGTTCCTGTAGTTCGGGCGGTACGGTTGCTAGCAGTTTCTGAAAATCATCCGGCTGCTCTGCTTCTCCTACCAATGCGATATCCACTGCGTACACGTCAGCTCCAGCGGCGACAGCCCGTTTCATCGTGATGGCGTTGACGTGGACCGTTGAAGACTCGGGTGACCGCCAGCGAGGTAGTTCGACCCAGTTACCACTACTTCGCACAGTGGAGCTACCCGTCGTCCAGTCAATTCGCGGGTTGTAGCATCGCAGCCAATCACGTCCCAGTAAAATGTCGTGCCCATCCAGTGTCGTCGCGAGCATTTCCTGTGTAAACCCGAAGTTTTTACCGCAGCGATTTTTCACCCTCTCCACTTTCTCCCGTATGGCCAGTGGCGTGCCGTCAACTAAACGTGCGTCAATCTCCGGTAAACAGCAGCTAAGCGTCAGTTGCAGCTTCAGTGCAGTTGCGGTATTAACTAAGCTGTGGCTTGCTCCTCCGTCTATAAAAATCTTCACTGCTGTCCCCTGTATTTTCCCGTAAATCAGTATTGGGCCATCCGTCGCTGTACCCTCCTTATTCATCTGAGCGCGATCGATGGCGTGAATCAATACTGTGACTCGGTGAGGGTCAGTGGGGTCGGGCAAGCAGTGAGTCTCGTCAGTAGTGGGCCCGATCTCTACTTACTGTTGGCGTTTCCCTGCCTCCCAGACTCCCTCCCCTGCTCTGCTCCACGGCGTCTCAACTCCTCTGGGCACTCGCTCTTGCAGTAGCCCGGCCTGTTGCAAGCAAGGCGCAGCAGCTGCGTTTGTCGCAACGGCATGTACGGGCGTGCTCGATCGGTCCCCGAGGGCGATGTCCGTAGTAGGGCCCCGGTCTCGGATGGCGCAAAATGTCGATTTTATCACACCACTCCGGCTTCAGCCCTCCGACGTAACGGTCCACCCACTCCGCCTCGTGCATGTAGCCGAGTTGCTCGCATAGTGTGAGAAAACCGCTCGTATAATCTTGGACCGATCCAAGTTGTCGCCAAGTACGCAGTCTTTGACGCGCCGAAATAGAAGCTGCAATCGGCTCGAAGCGCGCCCGAAGCCCTGCGCACCACGCATCCCACGTGCTGTACTGGGCGGTTTCGCAGAACGAACTCCAGGTGACGGCTGGACCCGTGGGCCCTTCCTCTTACGACGGCGGCTCGTAGGCGCGTGGCGACGTCACGACAACTCGCCACCAGTCCATGGCGGGGCCCCGTAGCAGCGAAACATCGTATCGTATTTTCGTGCGTCCGACTCGACGTAATTCGCGTCGAAGAAGACGTTCATCATGAAGACCCACGATTGAACTGTCGGACCTCCACGTTGGCTAGGATCGAAGCAGGGCGGGCGCTGCGGTTTGAGCGGCATCGGTGCGATGATGTCGTTGTTGCCGATCGTCGTCGCAAGTTCGACGTGACGACGGGCTTCGCAAGGCCCGCTCGTGCTTGGTGCGGCCCTGTTCCTCTCCATGCCGGGCATTGATTGGGCAGCGCCATCACTAGCTGCGCCGGAGCGCTGTCCTACGCTGTCGTGATGTGACGGTGTGCCGGATGAGATGACAATCGGCTCATCTGATTGCGCAGGTGCATTTGCAGGTGCTTGTGTTGGTGCTGGTGCATTCACCGTTGATTGCTGGCGGGTGGAGTCATGTTCCGCCGTGAGAGTTGCGATTTCGAGCGCCGAATCTTCGAGTTGGCGCACGAGACGGTCGAGCTGTTCCTGCGTCAACGTCGCAATGTTGAATTCGGCCATGGCGGGGGTGTCGCGCAAGCTCAGCGAGAGCCTCAGTCGTGGCCGTGCGTGCTTTCGAGAGAGCACTTCGAGCGGCGGTGCCTGAACGCTGAGAGACGTCTACTAGGGTTTGAGATAGTGGGGAAGCGAAGGTGTGGGTGCGATCCGAGAAGAGATCGTAGGCTCTGAATACCAAGTGTTACGAGTGCAATTGAGCGAGCGAGCGAGAATTGCACCATCGAAGCAAAACAGTACATCGAGCGAAGACATGAGCAAAGAATATATAGCAAAGCCAAAGTGGTAACGGTAATGTGTGAAAATGGGGTGCGCTACGGGCCTAGCGCCGAGGCTGGGAATTGTCGAGGCGGAGGTCCGGAGCGCGGGTTCCCAACCGAACCGTGAGGATGGGTCGCGTCGTGAATAGTGGCGGGAACAGTGGTCGAGGCGAGTGTCGTGAGTGGTAACGGTGCACTGTTGTGAGTTGTTGGCGGGAACAGTGGTGTACGCGCTGAGCAGGGACGCGAAGTAAGGAAAATGATTTTTCCTTACAAATGCAGAGCTGTTCAGAACATAGTGATTTGACGTTTATGAGGAAAATGTAATATACCCCCGTCATGATGTTTCTTATACGAGGAACACAACTCTACACAACCGTTCCGACGAGCGTGTCCGAAGTGAAACGTCGATGAATTTGCTGGATGTCGGTAAATGTCAACCCTCGGATCGAGGATTCCAACCGTCAGGATTCACCGACAACGGATGTCGATGTTTCGGACACCCCCTAATCACGGACACCCCCTAATCACCGACACCCCCTAAACGTCGAATCTGTTTCGCCACAGTTTTTTCTTTCACATTATCAACTACCAGCAGAGGGGTGCCATTAGAGGCACCGTAGGGATGCCATCCATGGCACCGCAGAGACGCCATGGATGGCACCGCAAGGGGGTGCCATCCCAAGCCACCTCCGCTTCTCGACGTGCAGGGGGAAGACGAGCGCGGACGTTGGGCTCGCCCGCTCTTCTTGCCTCACACGGCGTTGGCTGTCGCGCTTCCGAGGCACTCGGGTGATTTCTTTAAACCCTTCTCCAACAGACCTCCATGCAGAGCCGCCAACCCTTCTGTCCACAGGCACGATCATGGAGCGCGCGGCATCGCTCCTATGCGGCGTCCTTCTCTGTAAGCGCGACTTCTTGTACTATCACTGCTAGCAAAGTGGAGATTACAGCCAGTTATGCCTCCGTGCGGCACTCACTCTCTGCTGCGTTTACGCCGACAGATACGCCGCTGGCTGACGATTTTGAATCAGGCAGTCGATGTTCGCCCTTCATGCACCCTCGTGCTGCTCTACGGCCTGCCTGCAGGTGTGTCGCTCTTTACTGTCGGCGCCGCCGCGCCTCTCCGACCAAGGGACAGCGACGCGGTCATACCTTCTGTTGCTTAGGCCAGGCCTCTGGTGTCGAAAGGCGAGAAGGCCGTGCCCCTGCATCCGATCCGCCGCTTCTCTTCGCAACCTTGTTACTACAAGTTGTCTTCGCAACCTTGTTAGACGGTCGGCAAGCATCAGTACAAACGCATGTTTTTGCCGATAATGCATGCTGCTTTTCAAGGGGGGAGCTGCTGTGGTGCTGCGGTGTTTGTAAATATGCAAGCGGCTAGGAGTTGAAGCCGCTGTGCTTGCCTTTCAAGAGAAGTCCTCTTTCAGCCCGATCAGCTCACCAGAATCAGCCTCATCCCCCCTTTCTCATTCTCATTTCCAGTGAAATACGTGGTTAAGATGAGACCTACCAAGCTCAATGGGAAAGTAATTGGCGACAAAGGAGCATCGGGGAAAGAAGTGATCAAAGCGGTCAGGTACGGACTCGTCCCATTCAATGAACAATTGGTGCTGCCTCTAATACAAACACTGAGCCTTCAGTTCATTTCTCAACACAGTGGGCCTCCAGGACTGTTCACGCTCCCACTGATCCACTTCTAACGGCTGTTTCTATTGTTTATTTGGGGCTGGCCTCTTGCTCACACTATTTAAGCTGGAGAGGGAGAATACGGCTCCTCACCCACTCCCTCTGCCACCTCTCCCCGTGTCCCACTGGCAGGCGCTCTGCAAGTAAGTACTACATCATCTACTTTTTTAAAGTCATGAACATCAGATCTGGTGGAGCCGCACCCAACGTTGGTTCAGGCAGTTCCTGCCTGGGTGCTGTTGTAGGGCAGCAGGAGCAGACGTGGGTTAACACGGCGACCAACAAATCTGGCCGCCGTAAGCGCTACAGCTTCACGTCAACCTCGGAGTACGGCCCAATGAGCGAGAAGGAAGTTAGGGAGGCTTTGAATTGAAAGGTGTCATTCCAGTCAACACTTGTGTTCTTGCGGTTCACGTAAACAACAAAAACGCACTCTGTGGGAAGAGGAAGAAGAATCGGGCTAAGTGGCCGTGGATGCAATCTGCACTTTGATCTTGTGTTTGCACGTACCGCTCAAGCGTCACAAATGTACCCCTAATACCTTATCGGAAGTATCATGTATACCGTATTTTGTTGAACAGCAACACTGATGACCAAGAGAAAAGAGTGGAACTTCGACACGCTGATACATGCGGCTGTACACTACCAAGAGGAAAAGTCTTTGTTCAGTAACCATGGTTGGATGTGGCAATGCTATGAAGCGGATACCACCGCCGCACAAGGGCCGCTGCTACCTTGTGGTCCGCCCGGCCAAATGCCTGAAAGCAGCGAAGCGGAAAAGCAACACAAAAAAATGTTTCAAATATACCAAATCTAACAGAGCCACTACTTGAGAAGCAGCATTGAAGCAAGCGCACCTGTGAAAAGCCATAGATGGTGATTTGCTTCTTTGCAGCATCGTGGTTGATCCGACCGCCACCCACAGCCTCCACCTGCCCATGCAGATCACGAGTTAGGCAGGGTACATGCAGGCCTTGCATCGGGACCCGGGGCATAGTCTGTCCCATCACATCATACACACCCATGTGCATGCACCCCTTGCCTTGACATGCCCTGAGGGCGCATCGGCACACAGAGATGTCAGACGGCACCAGCACGCGCTGGTAAGCCCAGCAGACTGAAGAAGCTTGGAACACTGTCAGTCTGTCATGGCGGACGTATCACATGTCAGGGTGTCATCACTGGAGCAGCACACATACCTTGTTCCCAGGGGTGCTACCGGTATGAAGAGGGGAGAACGGGGTTTTGGAGGGCATGCAAAAGAGAGACACTTCCAAATTCAGAAACATGCACGGTTGAATGTGGACGTAACGGTATCTCGCCTTACTACTTCAGAACCCGCACCACATCTTACTTCCTGAATGGCACTACCTTGAGGCCCAGGGGCGCCATGAAGCGTACCTTGAGGCCCAGGGGCGCAATGAAGCGTACCTTGAGGCCCAGGGGCGCCATGAAGCGTACCTTGAGGCCCAGGGGCGCAATGAAGCGTACCTTGAGCCCCAGGGGCGCCATGAAGCGTGCTGTGTGCTGCAGCACGTCGTTGTGGAAGGGCGCCCTCTTGTCCCCTCGCACTATCTGCACGGGGTGGGGGAAGAGAGGGCGGAAAAGATGAGAAAGGTGAGGAGCGGGAGGAAGGGAGGAGAGGGACGAAGTGAGAGCCAGCTTACTCACAGGTACCCTGCACCCAGCAACGCCATGGATGTGCCATGGGTGCGCCATGGGTGCGCCATGGGTGCGCCATGGGTGCGCCATGGGTGCGCCATGTGCGCGCCATGGGGGCGCCATGGGCGCGCCATGGGTGCGCCATGGGCGCGCCATGGGTGCGCCATGGGCGCGCCATGGGTGCGCCATGGGTGCGCCATGGGTGCGCCATGGGTGCGCCATGGGTGCGCCATGGGTGCGCCATGGGTGCGCCATGTGCGCGCCATGGGCGCGCCATGGGCGCGCCATGGGCGCGCCATGGGTGCGCCATGGGTGCGCCATGGGTGCGCCATGGGTGCAACATAGTTCGCCATGGGAGCAGCCAGCCGTCCATGGGTTCTCATGCCATGGCTGTACTCACTCGTCCTCAGGTGCACCCACTTACACCGCGCCATACTCCACTACACCTGGCCTTGGAAGAGGCGGCATTGCCTTGGTTACCAGCTTGGCGGAATTTCAGTGAACAGCTCGGAAGTATTGCCTGACCAGCTTGACACCAATGGTTATAGGCTTAGCAGAGGACGGTTGAGGACGGTTGAGGACAGTTGAGAACGGTCGAGGACGATTGAGGACGGTCGAGGACGGTCAACCCCAGGTGCTTACCAGCTTGGAACGGTCTTGGTGTGGCGACTTGAGGCGAATGAGGACATACTTGAAAATGCCTGATGCGATGGGGTGGGGTGAGATGGGACGGGGTGGTATGGACGGTGTGTTATTGTGCAGGGCATGATGAGAGCAAGAGTATGAAGAGAGCAAGCATGGGTGCTGTGCTGCGAGCAAGGCATCGTGGTGGTGGTGTGTATGCAGAGCATGTGGCATGGTAACCGAGCGTGTCAATATCGAAGACAACTGTGCAATATCCACGTCACATGTGTCAACATCCACGTCACCTGTGTCAGTATCCACGTCACCTGTGTCAATATCCACGTCACCTGTGTCAATATCCACGTCACCTGTGTCAATATCCACGTCAGGCACCCTTTCTCCAGGCCAGTCCCCATCCTCCACACCCTCCTTCCCCTCCCCTCCTTCCCGCCCCACCCCTCCCCCATCCCCCTTGGCCCATCCCGCCAGCAGTGAGTGGGCGATGGCATGGGGGCCAGGGATGGCAACAGCAGAGCGGGGGAGAGGGGGGAAGGCCCAGGTGGTGCCAGAGGGCTGTGCGGGCAGTGCAGGGGTGGCTGGGGAGGCATCTTCTGCGAGGGAGAGATGTGTAGGGGAAGAGAGAAGGGGCGAGAGAAGAGGTTAGAAGACTTGAGGGGTGATGGCAAGGAAGGGCGAAGGATCTAAGGAGACACTTTTTAGTTAACAAATCAGAAGGGGCTCAAAAGGAGGAAGAGCTGGAGGAGGAGTGAGGGAGGTGAGGGGTGGAGAAGAAGGGGAGGTGGGGGTAATGGTGGCAAAGGCTGTTGTTTAAAAATGTGGCAGGTGGGTGGTTCGAAGCCGATGTTGGCTCAAGCATAGTGGAAAATGGTGTGGCAAAACCTTGCTCTTGCTGGAGCCAGAGATGTTGTGTTTTTTGCCATCTTTAAATAAGGCCTGGTCCGAGACAGATGTTGGGATTGACTTCGTCTCACCAACAGTCGGCTTCTGCAGCCAGGTGTTGCATGAGGAGTCGCTGAGGAGCGCTCTAATGAAGTCCCGATGGAACCAGCGCGCATCCTGATGGGGGGAAGGGGAGGGATAAGGGACGGACGGCAGAGGGAGTAGGCAGAGGAAAGAGGAAAGAGGAAGAGGAAAGAGGAAAGAGGAAGAGGAAAGAGGAAAGAGGAAAGAGGAAAGAGGAAAGAGGAAAGAGGAAGAGGAAAGAGGAAAGAGGAAGAGGAAAGAGGAAGAGGAAAGAGGAAGAGGAATGAGGAAAGAGGAAAGAGGAAAGAGGAAAGAGGAAAGAGGAAGAGGAAAGAGGAAGAGGAAAGAGGAAGAGGAAAGAGGAAGAGGAAAGAGGAAGAGGAAAGAGGAAGAGGAATGAGGAAGAGGAAAGAGGAAGAGGAAAGAGGAAGAGGAATGAGGAAGAGGAAAGAGGAAGAGGAAAGAGGAAGAGGAAAGAGGAAGAGGAAAGTGGAAGAGGAAAGAGGAAGAGGAAAGAGGAAGAGGAAAGAGGAAGAGGAAAGAGGAAGAGGAATGAGGAAGAGGAAAGAGGAAGAGGAAAGAGGAAGAGGAATGAGGAAGAGGAAAGGGGAAGAGGAAAGAGGAAGAGGAAAGAGGAAGAGGAAAGAGGAAAGAGGAAAGAGGACGAGGAAAGAGGAAGAGGAAAGAGGAAGAGGAAAGAGGAAGAGGAAAGAGGAAGAGGAAAGAGGAAGAGGAATGAGGAAGAGGAAAGAGGAAGAGGAAAGAGGAAGAGGAATGAGGAAGAGGAAAGAGGAAGAGGAAAGAGGAAGAGGAAAGAGGAAAGAGGAAAGAGGAAGAGGAAAGAGGAAAGAGGAAGAGGAAAGAGGAAGAGGAAAGAGGAAAGAGGAATGAGGAAAGAGGAAAGAGGAAAGAGGAAAGAGGAAAGAGGAAAGAGGAAAGAGGAAGAGGAAAGAGGAAGAGGAAAAGAGGAAGAGGAAAGAGGAAAGAGGAAGAGGAAAGAGGAAGAGGAAATGAGGAAGAGGAAAGAGGAAGAGGAAAGAGGAAGAGGAATGAGGAAGAGGAAAGAGGAAGAGGAAAGAGGAAGAGGAAAGAGGAAGAGGAAAGTGGAGAGGAAGAGGAAAGAGGAAGAGGAAGAGGAAGAGGAAAGAGGAAGAGGAAAGAGGAAGAGGAATGAGGAAGAGGAAAGAGGAAGAGGAAAGAGGAAGAGGAATGAGGAAGAGGAAAGGGGAAGAGGAAAGGGGAAGAGGAAGAGGAAGAGGAAAGAGGAAGAGGAAAGAGGAAAGAGGAAAGAGGAAGAGGAAAGAGGAAGAGGAAAGAGGAAGAGGAAAGAGGAAGAGGAAAGAGGAAGAGGAATGAGGAAGAGGAAAGAGGAAGAGGAAAGAGGAAGAGGAATGAGGAAGAGGAAAGAGGAAGAGGAAAGAGGAAGAGGAAAGAGGAAGAGGAAAGAGGAAGAGGAAAGAGGAAGAGGAATGAGGAAGAGGAAAGAGGAAGAGGAAAGAGGAAGAGGAATGAGGAAGAGGAAAGAGGAAGAGGAAAGAGGAAGAGGAAAGAGGAAGAGGAAAGAGGAAGAGGAAAGAGGAAGAGGAAAGAGGAAGAGGAATGAGGAAGAGGAAAGAGGAAGAGGAAAGAGGAAGAGGAATGAGGAAGAGGAAAGGGGAAGAGGAAAGAGGAAGAGGAAAGAGGAAGAGGAAAGAGGAAGAGGAAAGAGGAAGAGGAAAGAGGAAGAGGAAAGAGGAAGAGGAAAGAGGAAGAGGAATGAGGAAGAGGAAAGAGGAAGAGGAAAGAGGAAGAGGAAAGAGGAAGAGGAAAGAGGAAGAGGAAAGAGGAAGAGGAAAGAGGAAGAGGAATGAGGAAGAGGAAAGAGGAAGAGGAAAGAGGAAGAGGAATGAGGAAGAGGAAAGAGGAAGAGGAAAGAGGAAGAGGAAAGAGGAAGAGGAAAGAGGAAGAGGAAAGAGGAAGAGGAAAGAGGAAGAGGAAAGAGGAAGAGGAAAGAGGAAGAGGAAAGTGGAAGAGGAAAGAGGAAGAGGAATGAGGAAGAGGAAAGAGGAAGAGGAAAGAGGAAGAGGAATGAGGAAGAGGAAAGAGGAAGAGGAATGAGGAAGAGGAAAGAGGAAGAGGAAAGAGGAAGAGGAAAGAGGAAAGAGGAAAGAGGACGAGGAAAGAGGAAGAGGAAAGAGGAAGAGGAAAGAGGAAGAGGAAAAGAGGAAGAGGAAAGAGGAAGAGGAATGAGGAAGAGGAAAGAGGAAGAGGAAAGAGGAAGAGGAATGAGGAAGAGGAAAGAGGAAGAGGAAAGAGGAAGAGGAAAGAGGAAAGAGGAAAGAGGAAGAGGAAAGAGGAAAGAGGAAGAGGAAAGAGGAAGAGGAAAGAGGAAGAGGAATGAGGAAAGAGGAAAGAGGAAAGAGGAAAGAGGAAAGAGGAAAGAGGAAAGAGGAAGAGGAAAGAGGAAGAGGAAAGAGGAAGAGGAAAGAGGAAGAGGAAAGAGGAAGAGGAAAGAGGAAGAGGAATGAGGAAGAGGAAAGAGGAAGAGGAAAGAGGAAGAGGAAAGAGGAAGAGGAAAGTGGAAGAGGAAAGAGGAAGAGGAAAGAGGAAGAGGAAAGAGGAAGAGGAAAGAGGAAGAGGAATGAGGAAGAGGAAAGAGGAAGAGGAAAGAGGAAGAGGAATGAGGAAGAGGAAAGGGGAAGAGGAAAGGGGAAGAGGAAAGAGGAAGAGGAAAGAGGAAGAGGAAAGAGGAAAGAGGAAAGAGGAAGAGGAAAGAGGAAGAGGAAAGAGGAAGAGGAAAGAGGAAGAGGAAAGAGGAAGAGGAATGAGGAAGAGGAAAGAGGAAGAGGAAAGAGGAAGAGGAATGAGGAAGAGGAAGAGGAAGAGGAAAGAGGAAGAGGAAAGAGGAAGAGGAAAGAGGAAGAGGAAAGAGGAAGAGGAATGAGGAAGAGGAAAGAGGAAGAGGAAAGAGGAAGAGGAATGAGGAAGAGGAAAGAGGAAGAGGAAAGAGGAAGAGGAAAGAGGAAGAGGAAAGAGGAAGAGGAAAGAGGAAGAGGAAAGAGGAAGAGGAATGAGGAAGAGGAAAGAGGAAGAGGAAAGAGGAAGAGGAATGAGGAAGAGGAAAGGGGAAGAGGAAGAGAGAGGAAGAGGAAAGAGGAAGAGAAGAGGAAGAGGAAGAGGAAGAGGAAAGAGGAAGAGGAAAGAGGAAGAGGAAAGAGGAAGAGGAATGAGGAAGAGGAAAGAGGAAGAGGAAAGAGGAAGAGGAAAGAGGAAGAGGAAAGAGGAAGAGGAAAGAGGAAGAGGAAAGAGGAAGAGGAGATGAGGAAGAGGAAAGAGGAAGAGGAAAGAGGAAGAGGAATGAGGAAGAGGAAAGAGGAAGAGGAAAGAGGAAGAGGAAAGAGGAAGAGGAAAGAGGAAGAGGAAAGAGGAAGAGGAAAGAGGAAGAGGAAAGAGGAAGAGGAAAGAGGAAGAGGAAAGTGGAAGAGGAAAGAGGAAGAGGAATGAGGAAGAGGAAAGAGGAAGAGGAAAGAGGAAGAGGAATGAGGAAGAGGAAAGAGGAAGAGGAAAGAGGAAGAGGAAAGAGGAAAGAGGAAAGAGGAAGAGGAAAGAGGAAAGAGGAAGAGGAAAGAGGAAGAGGAAAGAGGAAGAGGAAAGAGGAAAGAGGAAAGAGGAAAGAGGAAAGAGGAAGAGGAAAGAGGAAGAGGAAGAGGAAGAGGAAGAGGAAGAGGAAAGAGGAAGAGGAAAGAGGAAGAGGAAGAGGAAGAGGAATGAGGAAGAGGAAAGAGGAAGAGGAAAGAGGAAGAGGAAAGAGGAAGAGGAAAGAGGAAGAGGAAAGAGGAAGAGGAAAGAGGAAGAGGAAAGAGGAAGAGGAATGAGGAAGAGGAAAGAGGAAAGAGGAAAGAGGAAGAGGAAATGAGGAAGAGGAAAGAGGAAGAGGGAAAGAGGAAGAGGAAAGGAGGAAGAGGAAAGAGGAAGAGGAAAGAGGAAGAGGAAAGAGGAAGAGGAAAGAGGAAGAGGAAAGAGGAAGAGGAAAGAGGAAGAGGAAAGAGGAAGGAAAGAGGAAGAGGAAGAGGAAGAGGAAGAGGAAAGAGGAAAGAGGAATGAGGAATGAGGAAGAGGAAAGAGGAAGAGGAAAGGAAGAGGAAAGAATGAGGAAGAGGAAAGAGGAAGAGGAAAGAGGAAGAGGAATGAGGAAGAGGAAAGAGGAAGAGGAAAGAGGAAGAGGAATGAGGAAGAGGAAAGAGGAAGAGGAAAGAGGAAGAGGAAAGAGGAAGAGGAAAGAGGAAGAGGAAAGACGGAAGAGGAAAGAGGAAGAGGAATGAGGAAGAGGAAAGAGGAAGAGGAAAGAGGAAGAGGAATGAGGAAGAGGAAAGAGGAAGAGGAAAGAGGAAGAGGAAAGAGGAAGAGGAAAGAGGAAGAGGAAAGAGGAAGAGGAATGAGGAAGAGGAAAGAGGAAGAGAAGAGGAAGAGAAGAGGAAGAGGAAGAGGAAGAGGAAGAGGAAGAGGAAGAGGAAGAGGAAAGAGGAGAGAAAGAGGAAGAGGAATGAGGAAGAGGAAAGAGGAAGAGGAAGAGGAAGAGGAAGAGGAAGAGGAATGAGGAAGAGGAAAGAGGAAGAGGAAAGAGGAAGAGGAAAGAGAAGAGGAAAGAGGAAGAGGAAAGAGGAAGAGGAAAGAGGAAGAGGAAAGAGGAAGAGGAAAGAGGAAGAGGAATGAGGAAGAGGAAAGAGGAAGAGGAAAGAGGAAGAGGAAAGAGGAAGAGGAAAGAGGAAGAGGAAAGAGGAAGAGGAAAGAGGAAGAGGAATGAGGAAGAGGAAAGAGGAAGAGGAAAGAGGAAGAGGAATGAGGAAGAGGAAAGGGGAAGAGGAAAGAGGAAGAGGAAAGAGGAAGAGGAAAGAGGAAGAGGAATGAGGAAGAGAAAGAGGAAGAGGAAAGAGGAAGAGGAATGAGGAAGAGGAAAGAGGAAGAGGAATGAGGAAGAGGAAAGAGGAAGAGGAAAGAGAAGAGGAAAGAGGAAGAGGAAAGAGGAAGAGGAAAGAGGAAGAGGAAAGAGGAAGAGGAATGAGGAAGAGAAAGAGGAAGAGAAAGAGAAGAGGAAAGAGGAAGAGGAAAAGAGGAAGAGGAAAGAGGAAGAGGAAAGAGGAAGAGGAATGAGGAAGAGGAAAGAGGAAGAGGAATGAGGAAGAGGAAAGAGGAAGAGGAAAGAGGAAGAGGAAAGAGGAAGAGGAAAGAGGAAGAGGAAAGAGGAAGAGGAAGAGGAAAGAGGAAGAGGAAAGAGGAAGAGGAATGAGGAAAGAGGAAAGAGGAAAGAGGAAAGAGGAAAGAGGAAAGAGGAAAGAGGAAGAGGAAAGAGGAAGAGGAAAGAGGAAGAGGAAAGAGGAAGAGGAAAGAGGAAGAGGAAAGAGGAAGAGGAAAGAGGAAGAGGAAAGTGGAAGAGGAAAGAGGAAGAGGAAAGAGGAAGAGGAAAGAGGAAGAGGAAAGAGGAAGAGGAATGAGGAAGAGGAAAGAGGAAGAGGAAAGAGGAAGAGGAATGAGGAAGAGGAAAGAGGAAGAGGAAAGAGGAAGAGGAAAGAGGAAGAGGAAAGAGGAAGAGGAAAGAGGAAGAGGAAAGAGGAAGAGGAATGAGGAAGAGGAATGAGGAAGAGGAAAGGGGAAGAGGAAAGAGGAAGAGGAAAGAGGAAGAGGAAAGAGGAAGAGGAAAGAGGAAGAGGAATGAGGAAGAGGAAAGGGGAAGAGGAAAGAGGAAGAGGAAAGAGGAAGAGGAATGAGGAAGAGGAAAGAGGAAGAGGAAAGAGGAAGGGGAATGAGGAAGAGGAAAGAGGAAGAGGAATGAGGAAGAGGAAAGAGGAAGAGGAAAGAGGAAGAGGAATGAGGAAGAGGAAAGAGGAAGAGGAAAGAGGAAGAGGAAAGAGGAAAGAGGAAAGAGGAAGAGGAAAGAGGAAAGAGGAAGAGGAAAGAGGAAGAGGAAAGAGGAAGAGGAAGAGGAAAGAGGAAAGAGGAAAGAGGAAAGAGGAAAGAGGAAAGAGGAAAAGAGGAAGAGGAAAGAGGAAGAGGAAAGAGGAAGAGGAAAGAGGAAGAGGAAAGAGGAAGAGGAAAGAGGAAGAGGAATGAGAGAGGAAAGAGGAAGAGGAAAGAGGAAAGAGGAAGAGGAAAGTGGAAGAGGAAAGAGGAAGAGGAAAGAGGAAGAGGAAAGAGGAAGAGGAAAGAGGAAGAGGAATGAGGAAGAGGAAAGAGGAAGAGGAAAGAGGAAGAGGAATGAGGAAGAGGAAAGGGGAAGAGGAAAGGGGAAGAGGAAAGAGGAAGAGGAAAGAGGAAGAGGAAAGAGGAAAGAGGAAAGAGGAAGAGGAAAGAGGAAGAGGAAAGAGGAAGAGGAAAGAGGAAGAGGAAAGAGGAAGAGGAATGAGGAAGAGGAAAGAGGAAGAGGAAAGAGGAAGAGGAATGAGGAAGAGGAAAGAGGAAGAGGAAAGAGGAAGAGGAAAGAGGAAGAGGAAAGAGGAAGAGGAAAGAGGAAGAGGAATGAGGAAGAGGAAAGAGGAAGAGGAAAGAGGAAGAGGAATGAGGAAGAGGAAAGAGGAAGAGGAAAGAGGAAGAGGAAAGAGGAAGAGGAAAGAGGAAGAGGAAGGGAAAGAGAAGGAATGAGGAAGAGAAAGACGAAGAGGAAAGAGGAAGAGGAATGAGGAAGAGGAAAGGGGAAGAGGAAAGAGGAAGAGGAAAGAGGAAGAGGAAAGAGGAAGAGGAAAGAGGAAGAGGAAAGAGGAAGAGGAAAGAGGAAGAGGAAAGAGGAAGAGGAATGAGGAAGAGGAAAGAGGAAGAGGAAAGAGGAAGAGGAGAGAGGAAGAGGAAAGAGGAAGAGGAAAGAGGAAGAGGAATGAGGAAGAGGAAAGAGGAAGAGGAAAGAGGAAGAGGAAGGAAGAGGAAGGAAAGAGGAAGAGGAAAGAGGAAGAGGAAAGAGGAAGAGGAAAGAGGAAGAGGAAAGAGGAAGAGGAAAGAGGAAGAGGAAAGAGGAAGAGGAAAGAGGAAGAGGAATGAGGAAGAGGAAAGAGGAAGAGGAAAGAGGAAGAGGAAAGAGGAAGAGGAAAGAGGAAGAGGAAAGAGGAAGAGGAAAGAGGAATGAGGAAGAGGAAAGAGGAAGAGGAAAGAGGAAGAGGAATGAGGAAGAGGAAAGGGGAAGAGGAAAGAGGAAGAGGAAAGAGGAAGAGGAAAGAGGAAGAGGAATGAGGAAGAGGAAAGAGGAAGAGGAAAGAGGAAGAGGAATGAGGAAGAGGAAAGAGGAAGAGGAATGAGGAAGAGGAAAGAGGAAGAGGAAAGAGGAAGAGGAAAGAGGAAGAGGAAAGAGGAAGAGGAAAGAGGAAGAGGAAAGAGGAAGAGGAATGAGGAAGAGGAAAGAGGAAGAGGAAAGAGGAAGAGGAAAGAGGAAGAGGAAAGAGGAAGAGGAAAGAGGAAGAGGAAAGAGGAAGAGGAAAGAGGAAGAGGAATGAGGAAGAGGAAAGAGGAAGAGGAATGAGGAAGAGGAAAGAGGAAGAGGAAAGAGGAAGAGGAAAGAGGAAGAGGAAAGAGGAAGAGGAAAGAGGAAGAGGAAGAGGAAAGAGGAAGAGGAAAGAGGAAGGAAGAGGAAAGAGGAAAGAGGAAAGAGGAAAGAGGAAAGAGGAAAGAGGAAGAGAAAGAGGAAGAGGAAAGAGGAAGAGGAAGAGGAAGAGGAAAGAGGAAGAGGAAAGAGGAAGAGGAAAGAGGAAGAGGAAAGTGGAAGAGGAAAGAGGAAGAGGAAAGAGGAAGAGGAAAGAGGAAGAGGAAAGAGGAAGAGGAATGAGGAAGAGGAAAGAGGAAGAGGAAAGAGGAAGAGGAATGAGGAAGAGGAAAGAGGAAGAGGAAAGAGGAAGAGGAAAGAGGAAGAGGAAAGAGGAAGAGGAAAGAGGAAGAGGAAAGAGGAAGAGGAATGAGGAAGAGGAATGAGGAAGAGGAAAGGGGAAGAGGAAAGAGGAAGAGGAAAGAGGAAGAGGAAAGAGGAAGAGGAAAGAGGAAGAGGAAGGAGGAAGAGGAAAGGGGAAGAGGAAAGAGGAAGAGGAAAGAGGAAGAGGAAAGAGGAAGAGGAAAGAGGAAGAGGAAAGAGGAAGAGGAAGAGGAAGAGGAATGAGGAAGAGGAAAGAGGAAGAGGAATGAGGAAGAGGAAAGAGGAAGAGGGAATGAGGAAGAGGAAAGAGGAAGAGGAAAGAGGAAGAGGAAAGAGGAAGAGGAAAGAGGAAGAGGAAAGAGGAAGAGGAAGGAGGAAGAGGAAAGAGGAAGAGGAAAGAGGAAGAGGAAAGAGGAAGAGGAAAGAGGAAGAGGAAAGAGGAAGAGGAAAGAGGAAGAGGAAAGAGGAAGAGGAAAGAGGAAGAGGAATGAGGAAGAGGAAAGAGGAAGAGGAAAGAGGAAGAGGAATGAGGAAGAGGAAAGAGGAAGAGGAAAGAGGAAGAGGAAAGAGGAGAGGAAAGTGGAAGAGGAAAGAGGAAGAGGAAAGAGGAAGAGGAAAGAGGAAGAGGAAAGAGGAAGAGGAATGAGGAAGAGGAAAGAGGAAGAGGAAAGAGGAAGAGGAATGAGGAAGAGGAAAGGGGAAGAGGAAAGAGGAAGAGGAAAGAGGAAGAGGAAAGAGGAAAGAGGAAAGAGGACGAGGAAAGAGGAAGAGGAAAGAGGAAGAGGAAAGAGGAAGAGGAAAGAGGAAGAGGAAAGAGGTGGAGGAATGAGGAAGAGGAAAGAGGAAGAGGAAAGAGGAAGAGGAAAGAGGAAAGAGGAAAGAGGAAGAGGAAAGAGGAAAGAGGAAGAGGAAAGAGGAAGAGGAAAGAGGAAGAGGAATGAGGAAAGAGGAAAGAGGAAAGAGGAAAGAGGAAAGAGGAAAGAGGAAGAGGAAAGAGGAAGAGGAAAGAGGAAGAGGAAAGAGGAAGAGGAAAGAGGAAGACGAAAGAGGAAGAGGAATGAGGAAGAGGAAAGAGGAAGAGGAAAGAGGAAGAGGAATGAGGAAGAGGAAAGAGGAAGAGGAAAGAGGAAGAGGAAAGAGGAAGAGGAAAGTGGAAGAGGAAAGAGGAAGAGGAAAGAGGAAGAGGAAAGAGGAAGAGGAAAGAGGAAGAGGAAGAGGAAGAGGAAAGAGGAAGAGGAAAGAGGAAGAGGAATGAGGAAGAGGAAAGGGGAAGAGGAAAGGGGAAGAGGAAAGAGGAAGAGGAAAGAGGAAGAGGAAAGAGGAAAGAGGAAAGAGGAAGAGGAAAGAGGAAGAGGAAAGAGGAAGAGGAAAGAGGAAGAGGAAAGAGGAAGAGGAATGAGGAAGAGGAAAGAGGAAGAGGAAAGAGGAAGAGGAATGAGGAAGAGGAAAGAGGAAGAGGAAAGAGGAAGAGGAAAGAGGAAGAGGAAAGAGGAAGAGGAAAGAGGAAGAGGAATGAGGAAGAGGAAAGAGGAAGAGGAAAGAGGAAGAGGAATGAGGAAGAGGAAAGAGGAAGAGGAAAGAGGAAGAGGAAAGAGGAAGAGGAAAGAGGAAGAGGAAAGAGGAAGAGGAAAGAGGAAGAGGAATGAGGAAGAGGAAAGAGGAAGAGGAAAGAGGAAGAGGAATGAGGAAGAGGAAAGGGGAAGAGGAAAGAGGAAGAGGAAAGAGGAAGAGGAAAGAGGAAGAGGAAAGAGGAAGAGGAAAGAGGAAGAGGAAAGAGGAAGAGGAAAGAGGAAGAGGAATGAGGAAGAGGAAAGAGGAAGAGGAAAGAGGAAGAGGAAAGAGGAAGAGGAAAGAGGAAGAGGAAAGAGGAAGAGGAAAGAGGAAGAGGAATGAGGAAGAGGAAAGAGGAAGAGGAAAGAGGAAGAGGAATGAGGAAGAGGAAAGAGGAAGAGGAAAGAGGAAGAGGAAAGAGGAAGAGGAAAGAGGAAGAGGAAAGAGGAAGAGGAAAGAGGAAGAGGAAAGAGGAAGAGGAAGAGGAAGAGGAAAGAGGAAGAGGAAAGAGGAAGAGGAAAGAGGAAGAGGAAAGAGGAAGAGGAATGAGGAAGAGGAAAGAGGAAGAGGAAAGAGGAAGAGGAAAGAGGAAGAGGAAAGAGGAAGAGGAAAGAGGAAGAGGAAAGAGGAAGAGGAAAGAGGAAGAGGAAAGAGGAAGAGGAAAGAGGAAAGAGGAAGAGGAAGAGGAAAGAGGAAGAGAAAGAGGAAGAGGAAGAGGAAAGAGGAAAGAGAAGAGAAGAGGAAAGAGGAAGAGGAAAGAGGAAGAGGAATGAGGAAAGAGGAAAGAGGAAAGAGGAAAGAGGAAAGAGGAAGAGGAAAGAGGAGGAGGAAAGAGGAAGAGGAAAGAGGAAGAGGAAAGAGGAAGAGGAAAGAGGAAGAGGAATGAGGAAGAGGAAAGAGGAAGAGGAAAGAGGAAGAGGAATGAGGAAGAGGAAAGAGGAAGAGGAAAGAGGAAGAGGAAAGAGGAAGAGGAAAGTGGAAGAGGAAAGAGGAAGAGGAAAGAGGAAGAGGAAAGAGGAAGAGGAAAGAGGAAGAGGAATGAGGAAGAGGAAAGAGGAAGAGGAAAGAGGAAGAGGAATGAGGAAGAGGAAAGGGAAGAGGAAAGGGGAAGAGGAAAGAGGAAGAGGAAAGAGGAAGAGGAAAGAGGAAAGAGGAAAGAGGAAGAGGAAAGAGGAAGAGGAAAGAGGAAGAGGAAAGAGGAAGAGGAAAGAGGAAGAGGAATGAGGAAGAGGAAAGAGGAAGAGGAAAGAGGAAGAGGAATGAGGAAGAGGAAAAGAGGAAGAGGAAAGAGGAAGAGGAAAGAGGAAGAGGAAAGAGGAAGAGGAAAGAGGAAGAGGAATGAGGAAGAGGAAAGAGGAAGAGAAAGAGGAAGAGGAATGAGGAAGAGGAAAGAGGAAGAGGAAAGAGGAAGAGGAAAGAGGAAGAGGAAAGAGGAAGAGGAAAGAGGAAGAGGAAAGAGGAAGAGGAATGAGGAAGAGGAAAGAGGAAGAGGAAAGAGGAAGAGGAATGAGGAAGAGGAAAGAGGAAGAGGAAAGAGGAAGAGGAAAGAGGAAGAGGAAAGAGGAAGAGGAAAGAGGAAGAGGAAAGAGGAAGAGGAATGAGGAAGAGGAAAGAGGAAGAGGAAAGAGGAAGAGGAATGAGGAAGAGGAAAGAGGAAGAGGAAAGAGGAAGAGGAAAGAGGAACAGGAAAGAGGAAGAGGAAAGAGGAAGAGGAAAGAGGAAGAGGAAAGAGGAAGAGGAAAGAGGAAGAGGAAAGTGGAAGAGGAAAGAGGAAGAGGAATGAGGAAGAGGAAAGAGGAAGAGGAAAGAGGAAGAGGAATGAGGAAGAGGAAAGAGGAAGAGGAATGAGGAAGAGGAAAGAGGAAGAGGAAAGAGGAAGAGGAAAGAGGAAAGAGGAAAGAGGACGAGGAAAGAGGAAGAGGAAAGAGGAAGAGGAAAGAGGAAGAGGAAAGAGGAAGAGGAAAGAGGAAGAGGAATGAGGAAGAGGAAAGAGGAAGAGGAAAGAGGAAGAGGAATGAGGAAGAGGAAAGAGGAAGAGGAAAGAGGAAGAGGAAAGAGGAAAGAGGAAAGAGGAAGAGGAAAGAGGAAAGAGGAAGAGGAAAGAGGAAGAGGAAAGAGGAAGAGGAATGAGGAAAGAGGAAAGAGGAAAGAGGAAAGAGGAAAGAGGAAAGAGGAAAGAGGAAGAGGAAAGAGGAAGAGGAAAGAGGAAGAGGAAAGAGGAAGAGGAAAGAGGAAGAGGAAAGAGGAAGAGGAATGAGGAAGAGGAAAGAGGAAGAGGAAAGAGGAAGAGGAAAGAGGAAGAGGAAAGTGGAAGAGGAAAGAGGAAGAGGAAAGAGGAAGAGGAAAGAGGAAGAGGAAAGAGGAAGAGGAATGAGGAAGAGGAAAGAGGAAGAGGAAAGAGGAAGAGGAATGAGGAAGAGGAAAGAGGAAGAGGAATGAGGAAGAGGAAAGAGGAAGAGGAAAGAGGAAGAGGAATGAGGAAGAGGAAAGAGGAAGAGGAAAGTGGAAGAGGAAAGAGGAAGAGGAAAGAGGAAGAGGAAAGAGGAAGAGGAAAGAGGAAGAGGAATGAGGAAGAGGAAAGAGGAAGAGGAAAGAGGAAGAGGAATGAGGAAAGAGGAAAGAGGAAAGAGGAAAGAGGAAAGAGGAAAGAGGAAGAGGAAAGAGGAAGAGGAAAGAGGAAGAGGAAAGAGGAAGAGGAAAGAGGAAGAGGAAAGAGGAAGAGGAATGAGGAAGAGGAAAGAGGAAGAGGAAAGAGGAAGAGGAATGAGGAAGAGGAAAGAGGAAGAGGAAAGAGGAAGAGGAAAGAGGAAGAGGAAAGTGGAAGAGGAAAGAGGAAGAGGAAAGAGGAAGAGGAAAGAGGAAGAGGAAAGAGGAAGAGGAATGAGGAAGAGGAAAGAGGAAGAGGAAAGAGGAAGAGGAATGAGGAAGAGGAAAGGGGAAGAGGAAAGGGGAAGAGGAAAGAGGAAGAGGAAAGAGGAAGAGGAAAGAGGAAAGAGGAAAGAGGAAGAGGAAAGAGGAAGAGGAAAGAGGAAGAGGAAAGAGGAAGAGGAATGAGGAAGAGGAAAGAGGAAGAGGAAAGAGGAAGAGGAATGAGGAAGAGGAAAGAGGAAGAGGAAAGAGGAAGAGGAAAGAGGAAGAGGAAAGAGGAAGAGGAAAGAGGAAGAGGAATGAGGAAGAGGAAAGAGGAAGAGGAAAGAGGAAGAGGAATGAGGAAGAGGAAAGAGGAAGAGGAAAGAGGAAGAGGAAAGAGGAAGAGGAAAGAGGAAGAGGAAAGAGGAAGAGGAAAGAGGAAGAGGAATGAGGAAGAGGAATGAGGAAGAGGAAAGAGGAAGAGGAATGAGGAAGAGGAAAGGGGAAGAGGAAAGAGGAAGAGGAAAGAGGAAGAGGAAAGAGGAAGAGGAAAGAGGAAGAGGAAAGAGGAAGAGGAAGAGGAAGAGGAATGAGGAAGAGGAAAGAGGAAGAGGAAAGAGGAAGAGGAAAGAGGAAGAGGAAAGAGGAAGAGGAAAGAGGAAGAGGAAAGAGGAAGAGGAATGAGGAAGAGGAAAGAGGAAGAGGAAAGAGGAAGAGGAATGAGGAAGAGGAAAGACGAAGAGGAAAGAGGAAGAGGAAAGAGGAAGAGGAAAGAGGAAGAGGAAAGAGGAAGAGGAAAGAGGAAGAGGAAGAGGAAGAGGAAAGAGGAAGAGGAAAGTGGAAGAGGAAAGAGGAAGAGGAATGAGGAAGAGGAAAGAGGAAGAGGAAAGAGGAAGAGGAATGAGGAAGAGGAAAGAGGAAGAGGAATGAGGAAGAGGAAAGAGGAAGAGGAAAGAGGAAGAGGAATGAGGAAGAGGAAAGAGGAAGAGGAAAGAGGAAGAGGAAAGAGGAAGAGGAAAGTGGAAGAGGAAAGAGGAAGAGGAAAGAGGAAGAGGAAAGAGGAAGAGGAAAGAGGAAGAGGAATGAGGAAGAGGAAAGAGGAAGAGGAAAGAGGAAGAGGAATGAGGAAGAGGAAAGAGGAAGAGGAAAGAGGAAGAGGAAAGAGGAAGAGGAAAGAGGAAGAGGAAAGAGGAAGAGGAAAGAGGAAGAGGAATGAGGAAGAGGAATGAGGAAGAGGAAAGGGGAAGAGGAAAGAGGAAGAGGAAAGAGGAAGAGGAAAGAGGAAGAGGAAAGAGGAAGAGGAATGAGGAAGAGGAAAGGGGAAGAGGAAAGAGGAAGAGGAATGAGGAAGAGGAAAGGGGAAGAGGAAAGAGGAAGAGGAAAGAGGAAGAGGAAAGAGGAAGAGGAAAGAGGAAGAGGAAAGAGGAAGAGGAAAGAGGAAGAGGAAAGAGGAAGAGGAATGAGGAAGAGGAAAGAGGAAGAGGAATGAGGAAGAGGAAAGAGGAAGAGGAATGAGGAAGAGGAAAGAGGAAGAGGAAAGAGGAAGAGGAAAGAGGAAGAGGAAAGAGGAATAGGAAAGAGGAAGAGGAAAGAGGAAGAGGAAAGAGGAAGAGGAATGAGGAAGAGGAAAGAGGAAGAGGAAAGAGGAAGAGGAAAGAGGAAGAGGAAAGAGGAAGAGGAAAGAGGAAGAGGAATGAGGAAGAGGAAAGAGGAAGAGGAAAGAGGAAGAGGAATGAGGAAGAGGAAAGAGGAAGAGGAAAGAGGAAGAGGAAAGAGGAAGAGGAAAGTGGAAGAGGAAAGAGGAAGAGGAAAGAGGAAGAGGAAAGAGGAAGAGGAATGAGGAAGAGGAAAGAGGAAGAGGAAAGAGGAAGAGGAAAGAGGAAGAGGAAAGAGGAAGAGGAAAGAGGAAGAGGAAAGAGGAAGAGGAATGAGGAAGAGGAATGAGGAAGAGGAAAGAGGAAGAGGAATGAGGAAGAGGAAAGGGGAAGAGGAAAGAGGAAGAGGAAAGAGGAAGAGGAAAGAGGAAGAGGAAAGAGGAAGAGGAAAGAGGAAGAGGAAAGAGGAAGAGGAATGAGGAAGAGGAAAGAGGAAGAGGAAAGAGGAAGAGGAAAGAGGAAGAGGAAAGAGGAAGAGGAAAGAGGAAGAGGAAAGAGGAAGAGGAATGAGGAGAGGAAAGAGGAAGAGGAAAGAGGAAGAGGAAAGTGGAAGAGGAAAGAGGAAGAGGAAAGAGGAAGAGGAAAGAGGAAGAGGAAAGAGGAAGAGGAATGAGGAAGAGGAAAGAGGAAGAGGAAAGAGGAAAGAGGAAAGAGGAAGAGGAAGAGGAAGAGGAAGAGGAAGAGGAAAGAGGAAGAGGAAGAGGAAGAGGATGAGAAGAGGAAGAGGAAGAGGAAGAGGAAGAGGAATGAGGAAGAGGAAAGAGGAAGAGGAAAGAGGAAGAGGAAAGAGGAAGAGGAAAGAGGAAGAGGAAAGAGGAAGAGGAATGAGGAAGAGGAAAGAGGAAGAGGAAAGAGGAAGAGGAATGAGGAAGAGGAAAGAGGAAGAGGAAAGAGGAAGAGGAAAGAGGAAGAGGAAAGAGGAAGAGGAAGAGGAAGAGGAAAGAGGAAGAGGAATGAGGAAGAGGAATGAGGAAGAGGAAAGAGGAAGAGGAAAGAGGAAGAGGAAAGGAGGAAGAGGAAAGAGGAAGAGGAAAGAGGAAGAGGAAAGAGGAAGAGGAAAGAGGAAGAGGAAAGAGGAAGAGGAAAGAGGAAGAGGAAGAGGAAGAGGAAAGAGGAAGAGGAAATGAGGAAGAGGAAAGAGGAAGAGGAAAGAGGAAGAGGAAAGAGGAAGAGGAAAGAGGAAGAAGAGGAAGAGGAAAGAGGAAGAGGAAAGAGGAAGAGGAATGAGGAAGAGGAAAGACGAAGAGGAAAGAGGAAGAGGAAAGAGGAAGAGGAAAGAGGAAGAGGAAAGAGGAAGAGGAAAGAGGAAGAGGAAAGAGGAAGAGGAAAGAGGAAGAGGAAAGTGGAAGAGGAAAGAGGAAGAGGAATGAGGAAGAGGAAAGAGGAAGAGGAAAGAGGAAGAGGAATGAGGAAGAGGAAAGAGGAAGAGGAATGAGGAAGAGGAAAGAGGAAGAGGAAAGAGGAAGAGGAATGAGGAAGAGGAAAGAGGAAGAGGAAAGAGGAAGAGGAAAGAGGAAGAGGAAAGGGAAGAGGAAAGAGGAAGAGGAAAGAGGAAGAGGAAAGAGGAAGAGGAAAGAGGAAGAGGAATGAGGAAGAGGAAAGAGGAAGAGGAAAGAGGAAGAGGAATGAGGAAGAGGAAAGAGGAAGAGGAAAGAGGAAGAGGAAAGAGGAAGAGGAAAGAGGAAGAGGAAAGAGGAAGAGGAAAGAGGAAGAGGAATGAGGAAGAGGAATGAGGAAGAGGAAAGGGGAAGAGGAAAGAGGAAGAGGAAAGAGGAAGAGGAAAGAGGAAGAGGAAAGAGGAAGAGGAATGAGGAAGAGGAAAGGGGAAGAGGAAAGAGGAAGAGGAATGAGGAAGAGGAAGGGGAAGAGGAAAGAGGAAGAGGAAAGAGGAAGAGGAAAGAGGAAGAGGAAAGAGGAAGAGGAAAGAGGAAGAGGAAAGAGGAAGAGGAAAGAGGAAGAGGAATGAGGAAGAGGAAAGAGGAAGAGGAATGAGGAAGAGGAAAGAGGAAGAGGAATGAGGAAGAGGAAAGAGGAAGAGGAAAGAGGAAGAGGAAAGAGGAAGAGGAAAGAGGAATAGGAAAGAGGAAGAGGAAAGAGGAAGAGGAAAGAGGAAGAGGAATGAGGAAGAGGAAAGAGAAGAGGAAGAGAGGAAGAGGAAAGAGGAAGAGGAAAGAGGAAGAGGAAAGAGGAAGAGGAATGAGGAAGAGGAAAGAGGAAGAGGAAAGAGGAAGAGGAATGAGGAAGAGGAAAGAGGAAGAGGAAAGAGGAAGAGGAAAGAGGAAGAGGAAAGTGGAAGAGGAAAGAGGAAGAGGAAAGAGGAAGAGGAAAGAGGAAGAGGAAAGAGGAAGAGGAAAGAGGAAGAGGAAAGAGGAAGAGGAATGAGGAAGAGGAAAGAGGAAGAGGAAAGAGGAAGAGGAATGAGGAAGAGGAAAGGGGAAGAGGAAAGAGGAAGAGGAAAGAGGACGAGGAAAGAGGAAAGAGGAAAGAGGACGAGGAAAGAGGAAGAGGAAAGAGGAAGAGGAAAGAGGAAGAGGAAAGAGGAAGAGGAAAGAGGAAGAGGAAAGAGGAAGAGGAAAGAGGAAGAGGAAAGTGGAAGAGGAAAGAGGAAGAGGAAAGAGGAAGAGGAAGAGGAAGAGGAAGAGGAAGAGAGGAATGAGGAAGAGGAAAGAGGAAGAGGAAAGAGGAAGAGGAAAGAGGAAGAGGAAAGAGGAAGAGGAAAGAGGAAGAGGAAAGAGGAAGAGGAATGAGGAAGAGGAAAGAGGAAGAGGAAAGAGGAAAGAGGAAAGAGGAAGAGGAAAGAGGAAGAGGAAAGAGGAAGAGGAAAGAGGAAGAGGAAAGAGGAAGAGGAATGAGGAAGAGGAAAGAGGAAGAGGAAAGAGGAAGAGGAATGAGGAAGAGGAAAGAGGAAGAGGAAAGAGGAAGAGGAAAGAGGAAGAGGAAAGAGGAAGAGGAAAGAGGAAGAGGAATGAGGAAGAGGAAAGAGGAAGAGGAAAGAGGAAGAGGAATGAGGAAGAGGAAAGAGGAAGAGGAAAGAGGAAGAGGAAAGAGGAAGAGGAAAGAGGAAGAGGAAAGAGGAAGAGGAAAGAGGAAGAGGAATGAGGAAGAGGAATGAGGAAGAGGAAAGAGGAAGAGGAATGAGGAAGAGGAAAGGGGAAGAGGAAAGAGGAAGAGGAAAGAGGAAGAGGAAAGAGGAAGAGGAAAGAGGAAGAGGAAAGAGGAAGAGGAAAGAGGAAGAGGAATGAGGAAGAGGAAAGAGGAAGAGGAAAGAGGAAGAGGAAAGAGGAAGAGGAAAGAGGAAGAGGAAAGAGGAAGAGGAAAGAGGAAGAGGAATGAGGAAGAGGAAAGAGGAAGAGGAAAGAGGAAGAGGAATGAGGAAGAGGAAAGACGAAGAGGAAAGAGGAAGAGGAAAGAGGAAGAGGAAAGAGGAAGAGGAAAGAGGAAGAGGAAAGAGGAAGAGGAAAGAGGAAGAGGAAAGAGGAAGAGGAAAGTGGAAGAGGAAAGAGGAAGAGGAATGAGGAAGAGGAAAGAGGAAGAGGAAAGAGGAAGAGGAATGAGGAAGAGGAAAGAGGAAGAGGAATGAGGAAGAGGAAAGAGGAAGAGGAAAGAGGAAGAGGAATGAGGAAGAGGAAGAAGAGGAAGAGGAAAGAGGAAGAGGAAAGAGGAAGAGGAAAGTGGAAGAGGAAAGAGGAAGAGGAAAGAGGAAGAGGAAAGAGGAAGAGGAAAGAGGAAGAGGAATGAGGAAGAGGAAAGAGGAAGAGGAAAGAGGAAGAGGAATGAGGAAGAGGAAAGAGGAAGAGGAAAGAGGAAGAGGAAAGAGGAAGAGGAAAGAGGAAGAGGAAAGAGGAAGAGGAAAGAGGAAGAGGAATGAGGAAGAGGAATGAGGAAGAGGAAAGGGGAAGAGGAAAGAGGAAGAGGAAAGAGGAAGAGGAAAGAGGAAGAGGAAAGAGGAAGAGGAATGAGGAAGAGGAAAGGGGAAGAGGAAAGAGGAAGAGGAATGAGGAAGAGGAAAGGGGAAGAGGAAAGAGGAAGAGGAAAGAGGAAGAGGAAAGAGGAAGAGGAAAGAGGAAGAGGAAAGAGGAAGAGGAAAGAGGAAGAGGAAAGAGGAAGAGGAATGAGGAAGAGGAAAGAGGAAGAGGAATGAGGAAGAGGAAAGAGGAAGAGGAATGAGGAAGAGGAAAGAGGAAGAGGAAAGAGGAAGAGGAAAGAGGAAGAGGAAAGAGGAATAGGAAAGAGGAAGAGGAAAGAGGAAGAGGAAAGAGGAAGAGGAATGAGGAAGAGGAAAGAGGAAGAGGAAAGAGGAAGAGGAAAGAGGAAGAGGAAAGAGGAAGAGGAAAGAGGAAGAGGAATGAGGAAGAGGAAAGAGGAAGAGGAAAGAGGAAGAGGAATGAGGAAGAGGAAAGAGGAAGAGGAAAGAGGAAGAGGAAAGAGGAAGAGGAAAGTGGAAGAGGAAAGAGGAAGAGGAAAGAGGAAGAGGAAAGAGGAAGAGGAAAGAGGAAGAGGAAAGAGGAAGAGGAAAGAGGAAGAGGAATGAGGAAGAGGAAAGAGGAAGAGGAAAGAGGAAGAGGAATGAGGAAGAGGAAAGGGGAAGAGGAAAGAGGAAGAGGAAAGAGGACGAGGAAAGAGGAAAGAGGAAAGAGGACGAGGAAAGAGGAAGAGGAAAGAGGAAGAGGAAAGAGGAAGAGGAAAGAGGAAGAGGAAAGAGGAAGAGGAATGAGGAAGAGGAAAGAGGAAGAGGAAAGAGGAAGAGGAATGAGGAAGAGGAAAGAGGAAGAGGAAAGAGGAAGAGGAAAGAGGAAAGAGGAAAGAGGAAGAGGAAAGAGGAAAGAGGAAGAGGAAAGAGGAAGAGGAAAGAGGAAGAGGAATGAGGAAAGAGGAAAGAGGAAAGAGGAAAGAGGAAAGAGGAAAGAGGAAAGAGGAAGAGGAAAGAGGAAGAGGAAAGAGGAAGAGGAAAGAGGAAGAGGAAAGAGGAAGAGGAAAGAGGAAGAGGAATGAGGAAGAGGAAAGAGGAAGAGGAAAGAGGAAGAGGAATGAGGAAGAGGAAAGAGGAAGAGGAAAGTGGAAGAGGAGAGAGGAAGAGGAAAGAGGAAGAGGAAAGAGGAAGAGGAAAGAGGAAGAGGAATGAGGAAGAGGAAAGAGGAAGAGGAAAGAGGAAGAGGAATGAGGAAGAGGAAAGGGGAAGAGGAAAGAGGAAGAGGAAAGAGGAAGAGGAAAGAGGAAAGAGGAAAGAGGACGAGGAAAGAGGAAGAGGAAAGAGGAAGAGGAAAGAGGAAGAGGAAAGAGGAAGAGGAAAGGGGAAGAGGAAAGAGGAAGAGGAAAGAGGAAGAGGAAAGAGGAAGAGGAAAGAGGAAGAGGAAAGAGGAAGAGGAAAGAGGAAGAGGAAAGAGGAAGAGAAAAGAGGAAGAGGAAAGAGGAAGAGAAAAGAGGAAGAGGAATGAGGAAGAGGAAAGAGGAAGAGGAAAGAGGAAGGGGAAAGAGGAAGAGGAAAGAGGAAGAGGAAAGTGGAAGAGGAAAGAGGAAGAGGAAAGAGGAAGAGGAAAGAGGAAGAGGAAAGAGGAAGAGGAATGAGGAAGAGGAAAGAGGAAGAGGAATGAGGAAGAGGAAAGAGGAAGAGGAAAGGGGAAGAGGAAAGAGGAAGAGGAAAGGGGAAGAGGAAAGAGGAAGAGGAAAGAGGACGAGGAAAGAGGAAAGAGGAAAGAGGACGAGGAAAGAGGAAGAGGAAAGAGGAAGAGGAAAGAGGAAGAGGAAAGAGGAAGAGGAAAGAGGAAGAGGAATGAGGAAGAGGAAAGAGGAAGAGGAAAGAGGAAGAGGAATGAGGAAGAGGAAAGAGGAAGAGGAAAGAGGAAGAGGAAAGAGGAAAGAGGAAGAGGAAAGAGGAAAGAGGAAGAGGAAAGAGGAAGAGGAAAGAGGAAGAGGAATGAGGAAAGAGGAAAGAGGAAAGAGGAAAGAGGAAAGAGGAAAGAGGAAAGAGGAAGAGGAAAGAGGAAGAGGAAAGAGGAAGAGGAAAGAGGAAGAGGAAAGAGGAAGAGGAAAGAGGAAGAGAATGAGGAAGAGGAAAGAGGAAGAGGAAAGAGGAAGAGGAATGAGGAAGAGGAAAGAGGAAGAGGAAAGTGGAAGAGGAGAGAGGAAGAGGAAAGAGGAAGAGGAAGAGGAAGAGGAAAGAGGAAGAGGAATGAGGAAGAGGAAAGAGGAAGAGGAAAGAGGAAGAGGAAAGAGGAAAGAGGAAAGAGGACGAGGAAAGAGGAAGAGGAAAGAGGAAGAGGAAAGAGGAAGAGGAAAGAGGAAGAGGAAAGGGGAAGAGGAAAGAGGAAGAGGAAAGAGGAAGAGGAAAGAGGAAGAGGAAAGAGGAAGAGGAAAGAGGAAGAGGAAAGAGGAAGAGGAAAGAGGAAGAGAAAAGAGGAAGAGGAAAGAGGAAGAGAAAAGAGGAAGAGGAATGAGGAAGAGGAAAGAGGAAGAGGAAAGAGGAAGGGGAAAGAGGAAGAGGAAAGAGGAAGAGGAAAGTGGAAGAGGAAAGAGGAAGAGGAAAGAGGAAGAGGAAAGAGGAAGAGGAAAGAGGAAGAGGAATGAGGAAGAGGAAAGAGGAAGAGGAATGAGGAAGAGGAAAGAGGAAGAGGAAAGGGGAAGAGGAAAGAGGAAGAGGAAAGGGGAAGAGGAAAGAGGAAGAGGAAAGAGGACGAGGAAAGAGGAAAGAGGAAAGAGGACGAGGAAAGAGGAAGAGGAAAGAGGAAGAGGAAAGAGGAAGAGGAAAGAGGAAGAGGAAAGAGGAAGAGGAATGAGGAAGAGGAAAGAGGAAGAGGAAAGAGGAAGAGGAATGAGGAAGAGGAAAGAGGAAGAGGAAAGAGGAAGAGGAAAGAGGAAAGAGGAAGAGGAAAGAGGAAAGAGGAAGAGGAAAGAGGAAGAGGAAAGAGGAAGAGGAATGAGGAAAGAGGAAAGAGGAAAGAGGAAAGAGGAAAGAGGAAAGAGGAAAGAGGAAGAGGAAAGAGGAAGAGGAAAGAGGAAGAGGAAAGAGGAAGAGGAAAGAGGAAGAGGAAAGAGGAAGAGGAATGAGGAAGAGGAAAGAGGAAGAGGAAAGAGGAAGAGGAATGAGGAAGAGGAAAGAGGAAGAGGAAAGAGGAAGAGGAAAGAGGAAGAGGAAAGAGGAAGAGGAAAGAGGAAGAGGAAAGAGGAAGAGGAATGAGGAAGAGGAAAGAGGAAGAGGAAAGAGGAAGAGGAATGAGGAAGAGGAAAGGGGAAGAGGAATGAGGAAGAGGAAAGAGGAAGAGGAAAGAGGAAAGAGGAAAGAGGACGAGGAAAGAGGAAGAGGAAAGAGGAAGAGGAAAGAGGAAGAGGAAAGAGGAAGAGGAAAGGGGAAGAGGAAAGAGGAAGAGGAAAGAGGAAGAGGAAAGAGGAAGAGGAAAGAGGAAGAGGAAAGAGGAAGAGGAAAGAGGAAGAGGAATGAGGAAGAGGAAAGAGGAAGAGGAATGAGGAAGAGGAAAGAGGAAGAGAAAAGAGGAAGAGGAATGAGGAAGAGGAAAGAGGAAGAGGAATGAGGAAGAGGAAAGAGGAAGAGGAAAGAGGAAGAGGAAAGAGGAAGAGGAAAGAGGAAGAGGAAAGAGGAAGAGGAAAGAGGAAGAGGAAAGAGGAAGAGGAATGAGGAAGAGGAAAGAGGAAGAGGAAAGAGGAAGAGGAAAGAGGAAGAGGGAGTAGGAGGCACAGCAGCAGGGTAGGGAAAAGCCATGGCCGGAGGATCAGAGGGCCGGACGGCCAGGCATCAGACCCATGCCCCACGTCCAACTCATTGGTGAGGTGAGGGTGTGCAATGCGCACGACATGCAGGTGCAGCGCATGACAGGCAGGCGGGCTAGACAGTTGGAGGGTTGGATGTTGCGCGTTTGAGCAAAGACATGCCCCCGTGCCTCACCTCCAGCTCGTTGGTGTCGGTGCGCACGACAGGCAGCTGCTGCCACGGCACCAGGGCAGCGCCCCTCTCCTCCCCCGTGAGCCCGTAGTCCGGCTGTGACAGGGCCATGGCTGGTGGGCCGGATGGCAGGGCTTGCGCTGTGAAGGCGACCATTAGGGAGGAGGGGAAGGGCCATGGCTGGCTGGCGTGGTATCTGATGAGGAGGATGGGTATGAGAGAAGGGAGAGGTGGGAAGCGCCATGACTGGCTGGTGAGATACGTGAGTGCAGGGATGGGGGAAATGGGGAAGGGAGAGGCAACAGGACAAAGAGGGAACACCCTCATTGTACAATCAGGGTGCGCACTTGAGACAGCACCATGTCTTCACGGGAGGAGTGGTTCAATGGTCATCAGCATGATAGCAGAGGGAGGGGAAGGACCAAATGTGTTGTGTGCAAACACCCACGAGGGGCGATCGGAAGTGGGCATGAGCATAGTGCTCGTCTTGAACAGAGCCAGAGAGTGATCTTTTACTCCCCGGTTGACGCCACCAGTACAAGTTCGGTTCGAGCCGGTATGGCCAGGTTAAGCTTTTGTGTTCCCGAGCTGCATCAAACTAAACAGGTTGGGCGTTTTCCCTAGGCGGCTCCAGAACCAGAACCGGTTCAACCCGAACCATGTGGGAAAGTTGGTTTGACGCGGCAGTGGTTCAACCAATCCGGTCGACCCGAACCGGCACTGGTTTGGTTGGACTGATTGTGATTTGGTACGTACCCATGCCGAAATGAAAGGGCCACGACAGGCCATGCTCACTCGATCGAGATTAGCCTTCCAGCCCGGCACACACCCCCGCGCCTCCTCCCACGCGTCACGCAGCCGTGTCAGCAATCTCGTCCGGCCATCCAACAAGTCTGTTGAGACCAAGGCAAGAACCAGGCCGGATCAGCCAGCTGGCCGTGGCAGTGCCTCACCTCACCTGACGGTGTCGGGGTGGACGTGCACCCTGGCCTCCTCCCACACCTCGCGCACCACCGCCATCTCAAACGCCTCCTGTGTAGCTCCAGCCGCCATTGCAGCACAGGCATCAGGTGACTTTTGAGTCGATTCAAAAGTCACCGCAGCACAGGCATGAGAAACACAGGTCACAGAGCACCCACCTGATGGTGTCCGCATCGACATGCACACGTGCCTCCTCCCACACCTCGCGCACCACGGCCATCTCAAACGCCTCCCCCACCTCCACGAACCCCGCCAGCACCGAGTAGCGCCCCTGGGGCCAGCGCGACTGGGGGGAGGGGTGTAAGGGAGGGGGAGAGGGAGGGCGGGGCAGGAGGGAGAGGGGGAGTAAGGGAGTAAGAGATGGAGAGAGGGAAGGGGAAGGGTGAGGGGGGAGAAGGAGGGACGAGAGGGAGTGGGAAGGAGGCGCGGGGAGAGGAAGAGGGGGGTGTGAGCACAGGCGAGGGCGAGCAGGAACGGAGGGACACTTGTCCACAACGGAAACGAATCCACGTGGAGTAGAAACGTGCCCTCCCGGGCACCACAAGTGATTTGTTGGTCGAGACAGGAAGTTGATTCACCAATCCACGCACAAGACAGAAAGTTGATTCACCAATCGAGACAGGTGATTTGTTGGGCTGGCCAAAGTGAGTGAAGTGAAGAGGGAGGGGACGAGAAGGAGGAAATTCATATTCATGGTAGGGACTCCAGTGGACGCATGAGAGGGAAATGCAGGAAACGGCAGGAGAAGCTTCATTGACCGTCTCCATAACCCATCTGCCTCCCCTCGTGCATCCCATCCTGTTCCATCCATCCCATCCCAATTCATCCCATCCCATGGCAAGTTGCTTGCAACCACTTGCACCCATCCCAACCCCTCCTTCCACCCATGCCACCCCCTTTTCCATGCAAGCACGCTGCTCTGACCTGCCGGCCCAGCAGCACGTAGTCACCCCACGAGACGCACATGATCACTGCCGGGTCCTGGGTGGCACGTTGTAGCGGGGTGGGGAGGGAGGGATGGACGGAGAGAAGGGACGGGAGGGGAGGGGAGGGGAGGGGAGGGGAGGGGAGTGGATGGGAGGAGAGGGGAGGGGATGGGTGGGGAGGGGAGTGGAGGGGTGGGGACGGGAGGGGATGGGAGGGAAGGGGAGGGGAGAAGAGGGGAGCTAAAGGAGATGAGAACGGGGGGAGAGGGGAAGCGAGCGAGATGGAGGTGCACTGCACGAGCCACCCATCAGCCGCTCTCCAGGGAGGTACACATGAGTCACGAGGCACACATGAGTCACGAGGCACACATGAGTCACGAGGCACACATGAGTCACGAGGCACACATGAGTCACGAGGCACACATGAGTCACGAGGCACACATGAGTCACGAGGCACACATGAGTCACGAGGCACGCATGAGTCACGAGGCACGCATGAGTCACGAGGCACACATGAGTCACGAGGCACACATGAGTCACGAGGCACACATGAGTCACGAGGCACACATGAGTCACGAGGCACACATGAGTCACGAGGCACGCATGAGTCACGAGGCACGCATGAGTCACGAGGCACGCATGAGTCACGAGGCACACATGAGTCACGAGGCACGCATGAGTCACGAGGCACGCATGAGTCACGAGGCACACATGAGTCACGAGGCACACATGAGTCACGAGGCACACATGAGTCACGAGGCACGCATGAGTCACGAGGCACGCATGAGTCACGAGGCACACACACTCACGAGGCGGGGGAAGATGATTTTCGAGGAGCACTTGGGCTTCCCAGCAGGCGACGCTGCTGGTGCTGCCGATGGTGGTGCAGATGGTGATGCGGGCTGTGCTGTGCTGCCACTATCCGCTGCTGTCACCAGCCCAGCAGCAGCAGCAGGGGCGGGAGGCACAGCGGCAGCAGGCACGGCAAGAGGGGGGTGGAGGGAGTTGGTGCAGCGTCTGGCGTAGCCCCCCTCTGCTGGGATGAGAGGCGCTGCGCACTGCGAGCAGAAGCGCTGGTGGGGAGGCAGCGGGAGGGGGAGCACAAGCCGAAGAGGGAGCGCATGTAAGAGGGGGACATGAGAGGAGCGCATGTAAGAGGGGGACATGAGAGGAGCGCATGTAAGAGGGGGACATGAGAGGCGCGCATGTAAGAGGGGGACATGAGAGGCGCGCATGTAAGAGGGGGACATGAGAGGCGCGCATGTAAGAGGGGGACATGAGAGGCGCGCATGTAAGAGGGGGACATGAGAGGCGCGCATGTAAGAGGGGGACATGAGAGGAGCGCATGTAAGAGGGGGACATGAGAGGCGCGCATGTAAGAGGGGGACATGAGAGGCGCGCATGTAAGAGGGGGACATGAGAGGAGCGCATGTAAGAGGGGGACATGAGAGGCGCGCATGTAAGAGGGGGACATGAGAGGCGCGCATGTAAGAGGGGGACATGAGAGGCGCGCATGTAAGAGGGGGACATGAGAGGCGCGCATGTAAGAGGGGGACATGAGAGGCGCGCATGTAAGAGGGGGACATGAGAGGAGCGCATGTAAGAGGGGGACATGAGAGGCGCGCATGTAAGAGGGGGACATGAGAGGCGCGCATGTTGCACACCCTGAGATTGTGTGGCGCGAGCTCTTGTTGCCACAGGAGAGGCACACAGGCTGAGAACCTGAATGGATACTGAACGGCGTGCAGCTAATCAGAAGCGCTAAAGGGGGGACACCGAGAAGCGGAAACGCGATACTGAGGGGGAATGAGAAGGTAGGAAGGCGGCTCCAAGAGGTAAAGACGGGAGGGGACAGAGTGCGCGAACACAAGAGGTGGAGTTGCGCAGTGGTGTCGGACTAGCATGTCACACCGTTGAAGGTACGGAGAGGAACTCATGTGACCTTCTGTTTGCTTCGCTGCCTGTGTTTATCTTAACGGTTCTCTTATACCGGAATTTGTCTGTTAGTGACTCAGCAGCCACTCGCTCGCAGCAGCCCAATGGTGCACGCCAGCAGCCCAATGGTGCACGCCAGCAGCCCGAACCTTAAAGCCAACAATCAGAAGCTACGCTGATACTTTCCAGGAAGATGGCGGCGGTGCCAGTCCATGAGCCCATTGGCATACGCCGGCAGCCCAAAGCTCACAGCTAGTGACCCACCGACGGGCGTCTTTCACTTCACCCACCCTAGAATGCAGTAAGATGCCATTTCTCCACCACTCACATGCCGGCTGTGCCAGTCCATGAGTCCATTGGCGTATGCCAGCAGCCCCGCATCGAAGGCAGGCAGCGATGGCCCCTGGGTGCGCAGAGACACCCACTGCGCGCCCTCAGGGGGGTTGTAGGCGGGGAGAGGCGCGGAAGAGGTGTCTTCAGGAGATGGTGCAGACCTGCAAGGGAGTTCGGGGGAGGACGGGGAGAGTAGGGCAGAGGGCATGAGGAGAGGGAAGCGGATAGGGTAAGTTTTTGAACACCGAAACCTACTTGGGGAGAGGCGAGGTTGACAGGCTTTGATGATGGCGAGGGGAGAGAAGTGAGGGGAAAGGTGAGGGTATCAGGGTGAACGAGACTGACACAGCCTGGCCAGATTGAATGCGATTCAGATGGGAAAGAATGGCAGCGGGTGAGTGTGGGACAGACGCACTCAACGGCGACAGCGAAGGCAGCGTGGCCTGACGGCATGAGGAGACCGAGGAAGCAAAACGGCTCCACTCCCGTGCCGCCTGCACTGCTGCTGGTGGTGGTGGTGGCGGTGGTACTGTTGCTGGCAGCATCAGCAGCGCCATCAGAGGCAGCAACTTCGTGAGGTGCAGTGGTGGTGGCGGGGTTGACGATGATGTGAGCAGGCGAGGCAAGCACTGCCCGGCCATCCCTGACTAATGACTGGCCGTGGCTCCATGGGATCACCTGATGGGCGTGTGCAGGGGTGGGTGAAGAGGTTGGGTGAAGGGGATGACAGAAGGGGGTGACAGGATGGATAAGGGGAAGGGTCAGGGCATGGGAGGATGGTGTCAGGTTGGGTTCAGTGCAACGGGACGAGCAATTGTGGAGCATATGCACATTGTCACTTCTCTCTGCACCAACGTATAGACCAATCCAGTCGCCATGCCATGCACTCAAAGCATCCGTGAAACGATCCCTCAGACATGCAATTATGAGAACCAGATACCACACCACACCACGCCACACCACACCACACCACGCCACACCACACCACACCACGCCATACCACGGTGGTTGGCTTGCCAAGAGCCTCCTGGAGCCAGGCAGCATCATTCCTGTGGTGCCCTGCGCGGTCCACGCTCACAGACGAGAAAAACATCCTCGCTGGATTCGCCTCCGCTGCTGCCCGCGCTGCTGGTGCCGCCGCCTCTCCTCTCACCCCCTTCGTACCCTCTGCCTCACCGCCCGCTGCCTCTGCTGCGCTCCCTGCTTCCTCTTCCACTCCGGCTGCACTTGCTGTGAAGCTTCCTTCTCTCCTTCCGCTGACGCTGCTGCTGCTTCTGGAAGCGCTGCCTCGGATACCGAGATGCTGAGCTGGCAGCTGCACGTCAGCACGAGGTGGAGATGACACGGAAACGCAGCAGGAACGAATGGGTAAGGTTTGTGTGGCAGGAAAGAGGAGAGAGGAGAGCCAAGAAAAAGAGTCACGAGCAGAATTGTTTCACAGTTTGAGCTTTTAAACGTGCTCCGTTGGCGGCAGATGCCGTTACGGACCACTGCGGACGTCATCTGGTACAAAAGATGTCTGAGAACTGCTATTTGGTATCAACGGCGTAACAAAATGCGTTGTCAGGGTCTTACCCTCGTGCCGGCTGAAGGGAAAAAGGGCGTCCGACGATCGGCGGAGAGCAGCGGCCGATCTGCGCGACCGGAGATTGCGGCTGCTGAACCGCGACTACTGCGCACAAGGCGGGGTGACGATAGCGAGTTCGACGAGATGCTTGTAGCACTGATATTTCCGCGAACACCGGTGTAAGGACCGCGCGGAGACGACAGAGAAAACGATGCTAGAGGGCTGCGTGATGGCGCGTGCTGTATTCGGATTTGCGAGGATGATACATTGAATGTGGACACGCGAGTAGCGGCAAGTTGGCGCGCGACGGCCGAGGTGGACGCGAGAGCCATGGAGGAGCGACGAGACGAGAGGTTGGGTGATGGCTTCAAGCCATGGTTGCGCTGCTGCGCGACGCGATCAGCGAGTTCTACTGGAGGTGGTGGTGAAGAATGAGGGAAGAGGGAGGGATGTGGGGGAAAGTCATACGCTTTAAATGATGACTCGTTATAGAAGCAGGTTTCGTACACCTTAGTGCATTTTGAGGATATTGTTGGTTTGGCTTTCGAACAGAACGAAGTACTCATTCCTCGTCGCTTTTACCTCATGCGAAGTGCAACGACTCATCGCTAATTTCCTCGTCACCCCCAAAATGTTAGAGGAAAGAGAAGCACGGCGTCCCCTTCGTTTCAAAACGATATTGTAACACAACGCTTCGGTGCTGCGGCTCTACGGATTTTTTTGCCCTCCTGACACCCCTTTGCTGTACGGGGTATTACGCAAACCCCCTTGCATCAACCTCGGAACGCAAGCGTGCTCCCTGCATGCCTGCTTCCTTATCGCAGCGCCTTCCCTCATGTCGCCATCTAGCACGACGAGCCATGGCCGCCTGCCACCATCGCTCGCCCATTCCCATTTCGCGACGCCCGTCACCTCTCACCTCTAGCTTGTCTGGACCTTCTTTAGAACCTCTCCAACGGGCTGTCACCAGCTGCTCTCTCTCACTTCTCGCGCGCCCTTTTCGCGCATCTCCGTTACACGCCACACTCTCCTCGCCGATAGCCGGATCACAAATCGCTTCCTCGCGCCATCTCTTTACGCAACGGTCGAGATCATCCACATCCGCGCCATCTTATCACAGGCTCGTTGACTTGTGCAAAAACGGGGGATTTGTCTTGGAACGATTAACCTTGGATCGGACACAGCAGTTACGTAAAGCCGGATTGAAGCCTGCACGATCTGCTCCGCCTCGGCTTGCCTCAGCCACGGCTGGTTCAGAACATACCGCCTCGGCGTCCGAGCCTAGTAGTGGTTTGGAATCCGAGCCTGTCGCCATGCCTACGCCAGTAGAGGGTAGCACAGCAGGAACCGGCACTAGTGGCGGATCCAGTGCTCCTATAACGAGCGGTGTTCCGAAGGGTGTGGTTATACGCGATATAGAGGAACTGCAGCGGAAGAAGCAGGCGATGAGAGCAGCTGGGCGCGATACAGTGCAGGTGAGCTTCAATTTAATATATCCTCGCCGTGCCGTGTGCTGTGAGCTTGCCCACGAAAGTGAATTCTGACAATACCCTGTTTTTCCAGCACCATACCATGGCACCTGCTGCAAGGTAGTATGGTAAAGGTGGTTCGTGAATGCATCAGTGGTTTTTTATCTCCCAAAAATACTTACCTCCTCCGCTGTCAGCCTCAGGCATGAGCTGCACTCTCAACTTTCGCCTTTCCTTCTATCCTCTCCCCCCATTCTCCACGCTCCTCCCTCGGCCACCAACACCCGTTCCCCCCTTCGCCTCATCCCCCCACCACCCGTTCAGGTGATAGCGGATTTCGACCGCACGCTCACCAAGTTCACCGTCAATGGGAAGCAAGGCCAGAGTGAGTGCAGGGCTCGCCAGAGCACGTAAGCCTGCACAGGCTTGGACTAGGAAGGGAGGGTGTGAGGCAGAGAGGGTGAGGCAGAGATGGTGAGGCAGAGATGGTGAGGCAGGTGAGGCAGGTAGAGAGGAGGGGTCGGCAGCAGGTTTGATAGACAGCTGTATTTCTCTTCGCTTCTCTCCCTTGTTCGTATTTTTCCCCTATCTTCCTATCCCACCCGCCAGGCTGCCACATGCTGCTGAATGTGCACCAACAGGAGCTGGAGGAGCATGTGACACGCACGTCCCCCCTCGCCCCTCATTCTCTCCCTTCCTCCCCCACCAATCCCCTCTCGCCGCCCACCCACCCCCTCTTGACCCTCACCCCCTCTCGCCCCTTATCCCTCCTCGCCCCGCAGCCTTGCCCCCTTCTTAGGCTGGCACGTGCTGCTTAATCTGCAGCACCCCCAGCTTTAGGAGCGTGCCAGGCAGCCCCGCGTCATCAGATTTCTTGCCTCTCCTCTCCCCCTCACCCCCACCCCAACTCGCCCTCACTCCCCTCGACCCATGCCCCACTCCCCCCTCTCCCAGGCTGCCACATGCTGCTGAATCTGCGGCACCCCGAGTTGGAGGAGCGCGGCGGGCGGCTGACAGCCAAGTACCTGCCCATGGAGACGGACCCGCACTTGCCGCATGAGGAGAAGTTCACATGCATGGTGGAGTGGTGCGTGCTGCTCGTGTGTGTGTGCATGGTAGCGTGGTTCAATCATGAGTTGTGTGTGTGCTGCATGTGCTGAGGCCCCACTCCCTCCCTTCTCTCCCCAAGGCTGCCATGTGCTGCGCCGTGTTGAGGAGAAAGGGGAGTGAGTGGTCAGGTGGGCGCTCGTCACAAGATTGTGTCTGCATTTTTTCCTGCCTGCACTGGGACCTCCCTCCCTCCCCAAGGCTGCCACATGCTGCTTCACTGCGGCCGGTCCGAGGTAGAGGCGAGGGGCATGCAGGTCGCAGCGCAGTACATGCCCATGGAGACTGATCCAAGCCTGCCATACGAGCAGAAGCGGCAGAGCATGGTGGCATGGTGGGTGGATGCCCGTAGGTGCATGGAATAGGATTACGGAGTAGAGGCGAGGGGCATGCAGCTAGCCGCGCAGTACATGCCCATGGAGACGAACGCGCACCTGGCGTATGAGACCAAGCTCCGGTGCATGGTGGCATGGTGGGTGCTGCTCGGAGGTGCATGGTGTGGGAATATGGGGTAGAGGCGAGGGGCTTGCAGGTACGTTCCTGTATATGGAGACGGACCCTCACCTGCCCTATGAGCACAAGTTCACATGCATGGTGGCATGGTGGATGCTCGGGCGAGTAGACTCATGGCCGAGTGGTGTGCTCGTGAGTGCATGAGACGACGGGGCAGGCAGAGGCAGCTGGCAGTGAAGCTCCTCCTTGTGCAGCCAGGCACAGGGCGGTATGACGGTGTGAAGAAATGGTTGATAGATAGTGAGTCGAGAGGTGGGGTAGACAGAAGGCGGGTCGACCCGACCAGACTTGACTTTGCTCGACGGGTGGTGAGTGCGTGGAAAGGGCGTGCATGGCATGGCAGATGCTGCTGAAGTCACAGCAGGATGGCATGGTGGACCCTTGTGACTGTGCTGTGTGTGTTTCACGGCAAGCTTACCAACGCTCTTCAAAAACGGCTGTTGTGCTGCTGCCCCTCACAAGGAATCGGCTGTTGGAGAGCGTTGGTAAGCTTGCCATAAAGCACACACAGCACAGTAGAACCATTGTTGTTACCTTATTGCGACTGTGCAGGCTGGCAGCACTGTGCACGCTGGCATGACTGGAATCATTTGACCGCCTTTTACCAGTTTGGTACCAATGTCGCCAACCACCGCTGTGTATCCATTCCACTGCACATGTGCATCAACCATGGTGGCAGGTGGACGGCAGCACATGAGCTGCTGCTGGAGAGTGGAATCACCCGCGCTGACGTCACTCAGAGCGTGGCCGCTGCCAACACTGCCTTCCGTGACGGCTTCTGTGACATGCTGGCGATGCTGGAGGTGAGTGGCACTGCTGGAGGTGAGTGGCAGTGCTGGAGGTGAGTGGCAGTGCTACCAGCAAGCATTGTCAAGTCAAGTTGGGGTGTCAGCTTTACTCCACTCACTATCGCGCTTGTAGTAGTCTTCGTTGAACCTCATGCTTTCCATGATACAGTTGATAACCAACCTCCATCATCACACCACCCATCTTGGCTCTGCCCTACATGCCCACACTCCCCCCTGCCCACACCCCCCGTGCATGCGTCACCAGGCCCATGGCGTGCCGCTGCTCATCTTCTCTGCTGGCCTGGCAGATGTCATCGAGGAGGTGCGGTGCATGGTGTGGGGTGGCGTGGGGTGGCGTGGGGTGGCGTGGGGTGGCGTGGGGTGGCGTGGGGTGGCGTGGGGTGGCGTGGGGTGGCGTGGGGTGGCGTGGGGTGGCGTGGGGTGGCGTGGGGTGGCGTGGGGTGGCGTGGGGTGGCGTGGGGTGGCGTGGGGTGGCGTGGGGTGGCGTGGGGTGGCATGGGGTGGCATGGGGTGGCATGGGGTGGCATGGGGTGGCATGGGGTGGCGTGGGGTGGCGTGGGGTGGCGTGGGGTGGCGTGGGGTGGCGTGGGGTGGCGTGGGGTGGCGTGGGGTGGCGTGGGGTGGCGTGGGGTGGCGTGGGGTGGCGTGGGGTGGCATGGGGTGGCATGGGGTGGCATGGGGTGGCATGGGGTGGCATGGGGTGGCGTGGGGTGGCGTGGGGTGGCGTGGGATGGCGTGGGGTGGCGTGGGGTGGCGTGGGGTGGCGTGGGGTGGCGTGGGGTGGCGTGGGGTGGCGTGGGATGGCGTGGGGTGGCGTGGGGTGGCGTGGGATGGCGTGGGGTGGCGTGGG